AACTCTTCTTTACTTGAATAAAAGTGTAAAATAGTGGTGCTTGTTATGTAAACAAACGCTCAGCTGACGAACCCGCTTTCGCAAACTTTTTTCTCAAAACCAGTTACAAATACAACGTCGCGTTCTTACGTGATCTTGTATTTTTGGTTCATGTACCAGATACGATGTGATGTGCTACTGACAATCGTTAACAATTCGAAAGGGTTAAATTGATCAGCTGTTTAGCTGTCACACGCCTACAACTGAAGCTGCTCAAAGCGCGCTATTTGAGTTTGGAATTTAATCAAAAGGATTGTAGAGCATCAACTTGTTGAAATAAATAATCAATAAAAGTTTTAATTTAGTGGGTTAGTAAAGCCCACTAGAATACATTTTAGGATGGAAAGCAGGAACAAGTTACAAATCATTTACCCCGATGAGGATGGCGAGCCACATCCATACTGCCCGCATGGACCTACATTGTTGTTTCAAGCTCCAACGATAAGTGAGGATGAACAAACGTACGCATATTATGCCTGTGCAGCGCATCGTGATAAAAGTTTGTGCAGTTATCATCTGCCGGCGGAACAATTAACACCCCAAAAATTGGCAAAGCGTTATGGTTTAGACGATATCATCGAACAATATAAAGGACATAAACAAAAGGTAAGTTTTTATTGCACGATTGTTGGTATTGCTGCAGAGCATCCATATACATTTATTGAACAGCTATTGGTGTGTAGTGACGGTGGCGGACGTCACTTCTGCCTCTGCTGTAATGTGCCACTGCTATCTGAAGAACAGTCAGGGCACACGGGTCATGAAATAGTTTGGAATTTAACAAACGAAATGCTTTGCGACCCAACACGTTTGCTAAGGCCACTTGACAATGATAAGGCACAGGCGCAGTACTTTTTTGATGACAAAGCGTTAAAGTTTTTCTCGAAATGTTTTCAGGATTTGGGCATAAGGTGAATACGATTTTCTAAGACTGCGTTACTAGATATGGATAATTCATTTTTTTTATTAAATCATAGTAAGGTGGTCTGCATGGGCGCGCCGCGTTTGCATGCCTATCTGCGGAGTAACTCTACCAACGTGCAAAGTTTCCTCCTGGATTTTGATTATCGTATGTTTTACTTCTATGAGGATGACAATTTTGCCTGGTATAATATGTGTAACAATCACTTTTTCGATCACAACCAGCGTCTGTATTTTGAGAAGTTTTTAAATTGCGCACCGTGAGTATATCCACGAGCATTTTTTAATTTTTATGATATAAAATTTTTTTTTACTTATTTTTTCATTTTCCAGTGAGCAGAAGCTACTAGTATTAACTGATCCTCCTTTTGGCTGCCGCACTGAACTTATAGCTGAAACCTTGCGCCACCTTACACGTCTTTATAATAAAATCAATCACCTGCCACATCAACCGCTGCCTATATTTTGGATTTTTCCATACTATTCCGAACACTATATACAACAAGAAATGCCCCAATTGCGAATGTGTGACTACAAAGTTAACTACACCAATCACAGTTCATACACTGATATTGGCGATAGGAGTCGTAAGCTTGGTTCACCAGTGCGTGTCTTCACAAATGTGCCATTGGAGCTACTACACTTGCCTGTTGAAGAGGAATACAAATATTGTGCCCTATGCCAACGCTACACTGCCTTAGAAAACCGTCACTGTTTCAAATGTGCATACTGTCCATCGAAGAACGGCAGCACCTATCGACATTGCGACCTTTGCGGCTGCTGTGTCAAACCCAATTATGTGCATTGTAATAATTGTAGGCGCTGCACACAGTCTGAGGAACACGAATGTGGGATGTATCAAGCGAATCAGCACTGTTGGATCTGTTTACAGAAAGGACATACAGAAAACAGGTGTGAAGAGTGGCGAAAGCACTGTAAAGTGAAATCTTTTGCTGGCCGATTTGAGAAGATAATCACCTGCTTGTTGTGCCGACGTAAGGGACATAATGAGCGTAACTGTGCGAAACGGAACAAGTACCTTGAGGAATTGACCTTTATGGGGGTGGCAGAAGTAAAATTTAAGTAAATTATTAAAATGTTTTAACAACGAAAAATTACTTTATTTAATACTTAAGTGTAAACTATAAATACAAATATATTTGACCAGAAATCGAAAATCTTTATCTACTAACTTTAGCTAAGTGTACTGAGCTACCCGCAGCTGCGTATTGAATTAAAGAATGTCTAGCTTTTTGTACATAGAGGATAATCGCTACAGGTCCTGTAGTACAGGATAAACTAGTAAAAGCTTTTACGATACAGAATTGTCACGCTTGCATGATCCTTTCTTGGTAGCATGTTCATAACCAGCCAACCAGTGCGGAAATCCTCTAGTGGTAGTGGAGAGATCACTATTCAATATCGGTCAACTTTTTGTATGATCAGGTTTTTGCTGCTGCTGCTGCTGCTGGTCTTGGCTGTGCTCGCCGGTGTTGATTTCGGAATCGATTTCGCGTAGCTCAATCTTTTGTTCACGCATCGCACGCTGCAGGAAAAATGTTCATAAATTTGTAATTTGTTTTGCATGTACATATAGATAACCACTGACCTTCACACAATCTTGATAGACTTTAAAGATCGGTGCGCACAGAGAATCATCATGGTGGCCCTTTAGAAAATGCTCTGAAAACCAATTATTGAAGCAGGCGTCGTATTGTTTCTTTAACTCCGTGCATTCATCACCCAAACTATCCATGGCAACAGAGTTTTTTAATAAAACGTTTTTATATCAGACAAGTTCACGCAATAACATTCGTTTTTTGGCTAATTCCGTGTATGTAGTAAAAAACACGAGAAAACAAACGTCAAATTGAAGCCAATTAGAAAATGTGAATCAGCTGATAGTGGGAATGTCGATAAAACATCGATGCATCGAAAATGTTCCACTCGATGTATAAATAGTCGATGCATCGAGGCACCTTTATATCGACTGCTGAGTGGAAGATCGACCTATCTCGGCAGCCAGCCGAAAACGCTCTATCTCAAAAAACGTATCAATAATGTCCTATTTGAGAGATCGTTTCAAAAGCGCCCTATCTCAGCTGCCGATTCAAAGACACTCATATCAGAACATTTTCAATATATTTTGAAGTGAGATAGGGCGTTTTTGAACCATGATTCAATAATGAATAATAATAATTGAATAATAATTGAATCATGTTTTTGAACCACATTCTGAGACAGGGCGTTTTTCAGCCAAATTCTGAGATTGGGTGTTTTTCAATAAAATTATCAAATAGGGCGTTCTTGAAAAGTTTTTTTGGGATAGGGCGTTTTCGAAGCGGCTGCCGAGATAGGTCGACCTTCCACTCAGCAGAAAAAACCATTGGCATCTCCCTATGAATGACAATTAGCAGCGGATAAGCACAAGCAAAACAAAAGTTGACATTCGCCCATTGAAAAGAAAAACGCGTGAGGTTAAAAAATTGATTGCAGCGGCTGCATTTCTCAACGCAATT